TTCTCGTCTGCTGCACCAGAAGCAACGGAACCAGCACTGAAACAGCAGCAGGCAATAGTCGAGCAGCAGCAGCAGCTGCTGCAGCAGCAGCAGCTACAGCAGCAGACAATGCTGGAGCAACAGCAACAGCTGCTGCAGCAGGGACAGCAGCAAGAAGATGTATCTGCCATTGAGCTGCAGCAGCTGTACCTCCGCTGCCACTCTCTGCGGTGGCGCACGCGGCTGCTGGAGCTGTTTCAATCGGACGCAGAGGCAGCGCTGCAGCGGCAGCTGCAGCAGCAGCAGCAGCAGCAGCAGCAGAAACGCCTGGAGCTGCTTCAGACCCTGCGGCAGCAAGTACAAGCCGACACTGTCTCAGGCGCAGCCAAGGATTCCCCTGCAGCAGCGGCGAAGGCAGTGCTGGCTGAGGCAGCAGCAGCACTGCAGCCTGCAGCAGCAGCAGCAGCAGCAGCAGCGGCTGCTGCTGCTGCTGCTGAAGAGGAAGCAGCAGGCAGCCCTCCTAAAACAGCAGCTCCCTGCAGGGGCTCCGTTCCCTCGCTGGGGGCCCGCAGACCTTCGTTAGAGGCAGCAGGCAAGCCGTTTGCTGCGGCTGCTGCAGCTGAGGAGTGCACTGCAGCAGCAAAAACAGCAGCAGCAGCAAAAGCAGCAGCAGCAGAAACAGGAGCAGCAACAGCAGCAGACAAGCCTGCAACGTCTCTGTTTGGTTCTGGCGGGTTTGGGTTAACAGCAGCCTCCGCACCTACCCTGTTCGCTGCTGCTGCGGAAGCGCCAGCAGCAGCAGCAGCAGCAGCAGCAGGCAGCGCCTCCGAAGCAGCAGAGGAGGCAGCAGCAGCACCTGCTGCAGCGGGAGGACCAGAAGCAAAACAGACGGCGGCGGGGAGCCTGTTTGAAGCACGCAGCTTCTCGTTTGGGCAGCCGCAGCAGCAGCAGCAGCAGACAGAGCAGCAACAGACAAAAGAGAAGCAGCAGAGAGAGCAGCAGGACACGCGACAGCAGCAGGATGAGCAGCAACAGCACGATAAGCAGCAGCAGCAGCAGCAGCAGCAGCAGGCCCCACGTGCCTTCGTATTTGGTGCTGGTAGCAGCTCAGCAGCGGCGAAACCAACGCAAGAGCAAGCGGCTGCTGCACCAGCAGCGGCAGCAGCAACTGCAGCAGCAGCAGCAGCAGCGCCGTTGTTTGGGGGCGTTTTGACTGCCCAGAAAGCTGCTGCGGGAGACTCTGCTGCTGCTGCGCCTGCCGCTACGCCTGCCGAGGCTGCTGCTGCAGCAAAATGGCCGGCCCTGTTTGGAGCAGCAGCAGCAGCAGCAAAGGCAGCAGCAGAGCCGTCAGGCGCAGCTGCTGATCCCAAGGAGACTTCTAAGGAAGCTCGAGGCGCTGCCGAGAAAGCTTCAGCAGAAGAGAAAGCTGCCAAAACAGCTGCAGAAACAGGTAGCAGCAGCGACAGCAGCAGCAGCAGCAGCAGCAGCAGCAGCAGCAGCAGCAGCAAGGGCGGCGCAGCAGCAGCGCCGTTCCGCCTCTTCGGCGCCCCCACCGTGCGGGCCCCCACTGCGGATAATGCAGGCAAGGGATTGATTGGCAGCACTTTGTCGGGTGCTGCGGAGGGGCTCACTTCTGCTGCTGCTGCTGCTGCTGCTGCTGCTGCTGGGGCACAAGAGGCAAATAAAGAGAGGGCCGAGACTGCTGCGACTGCAGCTGCTGCCACGCCTGCTGCTGCTGCTGCCACACAGAAGGCAAGCGAGAAGCCTTCCAGTAGCACTGACAGCAGCGGCAGCAGCAGCAACACTAGCGGAGCCACAAACACAGGTAGCAGCAGCAACAGCAGCAACAGCAGCAGCAAGCCTGCTGCTGTTCCTTGGTGGCTAGCAAATGTTGGTAAGCCCTGCCAGGTGGACATCGAGCCAGAGGGATTTGCTGAAGACGCTGATGAAGATAGCACACAGGATCCGTCTGCTGCTGCGCCAGCTGCTGCACCTGCTGCTGCTGCTGCGAAGCCTGCCGCTGCGGGTGCTGCTGCGGCACCTGCTGCAGCTGCAGCACCGCCAGCAGCAGCAACACTGCAAGGAGCAAGCATCTTCGGGAATCTTCCCATACCGAAGGCAGCGCCACCAGCAAGTTCACTGTTCACCTTTGGCAGCAGCAGCAACAACAAAAGCAGCAGCAGCAGCAGCAGCGGGAAGCCGCCGTCAATCTTTACTTTCGGTGCTGGGACTAGCAGCAACAGTGGGGGGAGCAGCAACAGTAGCAACAACAAAGGGCAGGTTGCACCTTTTACATTTGGCGCCGGGATTAGCAGCAGCAGCAACAGCAGCAGCAGCAGCAACAGCAGCAGCAGCAGCAACAGCAGCAGCAGCAGCAACAGCAACAGCTCACAAATGACTCCGCTCTTTGGACAGCCCCTGGGTGGGGGTGCAGGCGGCGCTGCTGCCGCTGCTGCTCCGTTTTCGCTGTTCGGGGCCAGCAGCAACACATCAGCTGCTGGCAGCAAGCCCTCGCTTTTTGGTGGCAGCAGCAGCACGGGACTGTTTGGCGCTGCTGGCAACAGCGGGACAGCAGCAGCAGGGGGAGGGGGGTTATTCGGCGCAGCACCGGCAGCAGCAGCAACAGAAGGCAAACCTTCTCTCTTTGGCAGCAGCGGCAGCAGCAGCAACACAGCAGTAGGCAGCAGCAAGCCGAGTCCGTTTGGAAGCAGCGGCGCATCCTCAAAGGGTCCCTTTATATTCGGTGCTTCCAACAGCAGCAACACGACTGCAGCAGCAGCAGCACCAGCAGCACCTGAGAAGCCGTTTATCTTCGGAAGCAGCAGCAACACTGCAGCGGCCCCCCAGCAGCCTTCCCTCTTTGGCGGCAGCAGCAGCAGCAGCAGCAGCGCAGCAGCGAAAGCAGCTCCCAACCTCTTTGGGCAGCCACTGGCTGCCCCCAGCCACTCAGGCGCAGCGCCAGCCTCCGAAGGGGGCGGAGGCAAAAGAAGCAGGACAGAGCCAGAGAGGCCCCTCGCGAACAGTTTGCTGCGGAGCTCGGAAGCAGGGAAGGGGGGCCCCCCGGGGGCCCCCCTGCAAGGGGCCTCCATCTTTGGGGGTGCGTTGCTGTCTTCCAGCGAGGGGTTGGGGGCCCGCCCGGCCTTCGGCTTCTTCGGCAGCCAGCAGCAAGACAGCAGCAACAAGCAGCCAGCAGCAGCAGCAGCAGCAGCAGCAGAAGCCAGGCCTTCGGGTGGCGCCAGCATCTTCGGGGGGCTAGGCACCACGGGGGCCCCAGGCGCAGGAGGCATTCCAGGCTTTGGCTCGGGGCCCCTTCAGGGGGGAAACTTCATCTTTGGGAAACCCCCAGCAAGCGGGGCCTCCCCAGCCAGCAAGGGAGGGTAGCAAGTTTTTGCCAGGCTCTGCAGCGCCATGGGGGCCCCCCGGGGGGCCCTGGAGCCCAAAAGACCCCCCAAAGGGGCCCTAGAGGGGCCCCAAGATGGGCCCCAGAGGGGGCCCCCGAGGAGCGCCATCTGGGCATTTTGAGCTCTTAGGGTCGCGCTGGCTCGGGGGGCCCTTGTGGGGCCCCCCGAGCCAGTTGGCTTAGTTGTTTGGACTATCTTTTAAGGCGCTTGCGGCTCGTGTTGCTGCGCTGCACTTCTTTCAAATGCCTAAATGACACGCAGCTAGTGCATGCAGCAGACAGCAGCACTTAGTGTTATCGCCCAGTCTGCAGCGAACTCGCGGGCTGGGGCTGGAGGCAGCAAAGCGCATGCAGAGCACCTGCAGCGGGCAGCCTCTGCAACAGCAGCAGAGAGGAAGGAAGCGGCCATGAAACAGCAGCAGCAGCAGCAGCAGCAGCAGGTAAAGAAGCCCCGACGGCTCGAGCCGCTCGCGTAGGGGGCATAAGCAAAAAGGCCAGTAGAATTAACAGACACAAATAAACCGAGGGGCCCCTGAGAGGCCTTTAGCTGTTTTGAGCCTTCGATGGAAGCAGTGGCTCGGACTGTCTGCGGCTTGAGGCGCTCGCCCACTGCAGCAGCTTGGCTAGCTGGCGGCTCGGCGGCTAGCTAGCCAAGCTGCTGGCGGCCGCACCAGCTAGCTAGCTAGTGGGCAGCTAGCTAGCTCGCTAGGTACTTAGCCAGCTCGCTGCCGTCAGCTGCTGGCTAGCTGGCCCCTGAGACAGCTAGGCGGGCCTGCTAGCTACCCAGCAACTAGCTGCTGCGCCGCCACAGGAGCCGGCTAGCGCTAGCTAGCTAGCTAGCTGCAGCCTGCCGCTGCAAGTGTCTGGTGGGAGCCCGGGCAGCCGCCGGGGAACAGCGCTGGCCCAGCACACGAGTGTGTGGCTCGCGGCACAGTGCCTGCGGCTAGCTAGCTAGCTATTCGTTGTTTTAGCCAGCTGCACAGCTAGCTGCACAGGTAGCTACACAAGTACCTGCACGGCCAGCTGCACAGCTAGCTACAGAGCGAGCTGCGCAGCTAGCCGTGCGGCTAGCTATGCAGCTAGCCGCAGAGCCAGGTGCACAGCTAGCTGCATAGCTAGCATAGCCAGCTCCCCAGGCAGCTGCGCAGCTAGCTAGCTGACTGCGCAGCTAGCTGGAGAGGTCTTCGGTGTCTACGCGATAAGCATGTCGTCGTCTTCGTCAGAACAAATTTGGCCCACGTCCACCCGGGGCCGGCGGGCCCCAGCTAGCCACTCCGCGCGGGCAGCTGGCCTGAGCTGGTTGCGGGCGCCCTGCAGCAGCGCGCAGCAGCAAAGTTGAAAGCCCCAGTAGAAGTAAAGCCCCAAAAGAGTCAAAGTGGCTTTGGGCCAGAGCTGAGGCGACAGCCACACCTAAAGCAAAGCGCAAGGTTTAGAAGTGCTGCTTCTGCAAGTGCAGCAAATCTAAACCCTGCGCTTTGCTGCACTTGCAGAGGCAGCAAATCTAAACCCTGCGCTTTGCTGCACTTTGAGAAGCAGCAAATCTGAACCCTACGCTTTGCTGCACTTGGAGAAGCAGCAAATCTGAACCCTGCGCTTTGCTGCACTTGGAGAAGCAGCATATCTAAACCCTGCGCTTTGCTGCACTTGGAGAAGCAGCAAATCTAAACCTAAGACTACAAAGACTCCCAAAGCCCACCTGCACTGCGCGGGTGCAGCCCTCTGAGAAACCCAAGAGAGGCCGCAAAATCAACGCGGGGAAAACGCGGCCGGCGATTTGGAGGGCTTCGGGCCCCAGGCAGTTTGGGGTGTACAGACGCAGGCACACGTCTCGCGCAGAAGAAAAGCCCCGAGACACGCACCGACAGGCGTCCCCCAGCCCTGCAACCACACCCTCGGGCTGCAGCAGCAGCAGCAACAGCAGCAGCAGCAGCAGCAGCAGCAGCAACAGCAGATGCACCTGCAGCACTGGGAAAAGGGCGCGCCGCAACAGCTAAAGCGAAAAGCCGCAGTTGAGACAGCCGCAGGAGCAGCCTGTCCTAAGTGGGGATCAAACTTGAAGACAAGGGAATGAGAATTGGGGAAAAGAAGAAGCAAGGTGGCAGCAGCAGAAACGAAAAAAGCTGCAAAGACAAACCTCATAGAGCCCCTCCGCGCCCAGCTGCACAACTGCCCACTCGTTGCTGCTCTCAGCAGCCCCGGGACCTCCCCAGCTGCTTCGGGCTCCCCCGTCCGCCGAAGAGGCCTCATCTGCGCAGCAGCAGCAGCTTGCCACGAGCAGCGGCGCTTGCGGAGCAGCAGCAGCAGCAGCTCGCCACAAGCAGGAGCACTTGGGAAGCAGCAGCAGCAGCACTTGCGAAGCAGCAGCAGCAGCTTCTGCTGCTGTGAGCCCCGCAAACACGTAGTGCCGGGGCTGCTGCCCCCTCTTAGGCTTAGGCTTAGGGCTTAGGGTTTCCTTACAAGATGCAAGAGAGGTTTGCAGCCCGAGTCTAAGCCTGCGGCTGCCGTGGGAGCTGGCTTGCTGCCGCCTGTTCGTGGCAGTCCTCGTGTGCTGCTGCAGCAGCAGCATCACGTCACTGCCTGTGCGGGTGCGGAATGTTGCAGACGGGTAGGGAGGGCAGCTGCCGGGAGTGTAGGCGCGGTCGAGCAAGTACAGCAGCGAATGGAGGCCTCTCAGGGCCCTTTCCGAAAGGCACCTGCAGCAGCAGCAGCAGCAGCAGCAGCGGAAGCAGCAGCAACAACACTGAGAGAGCCAGAAACAGGACCCTGAGGTTGAGGCCGTCCAAACACGGCTCACGGCTAGCAGCAAGGCAGCAGCAGCACGAGATGACTGCAACACAGGCACTCTAGCGAGAACAGCGACCCCAGCAGCAGCACAGGCAACAGCAGCATCAACAGCAGCAGCGCTGGAAGGCCCACAGCAGGCTGCCAGAGCCACCGAGCCACAGCGCGACCCACAGTCCCTCGAAGCCTGCACTGGCTGCAGCAGCAGCGACATTTTTAGCCAGCAGCAGCGCCAACCCCGGAGCATCTACTGACGCCAGCAGCTGCTGCAGCGCAGCAGCAGCTCGCTGAGCTGGGGGCATCCCAAGGGGGCCCCCACGCGGCCTCCGAGCCCAGCCACGGCGGCGCCGGAACACCCGCAGCAGCCAACTGCGAATTGTGCGGCCGCCTCTCAGAAGGCCATTTAGAGGAGCAACGCTGTTGATGCATCGCATCATTGCAGCCCTGCAGCAGCAGCAGCAGAAGCAGCAGCCGCAGCGGCAGCAGCACAAATGGCACAGAGAACAGTGAACAAGCTCACAGCCCACGCAACTACAGAGAACAAAATTGAATTTCCAGCAGCAGAGCCCGCTATGGTACAGCCATCCGAGCCCTACTAATCCTGCTGCTGCTGCTGCTGATGCTTTTGGTGCTGATGTTGCTCTGTGCTGCTGCTGTTGCTGCTGCTGCTGAACGCATTTCCCTTGCCTCTGAAGGTAACCCGTCTGCACCGGCTCCTAGGGCTACTCCTCCTGCTGCTTTGACTGCTGCTACTACTCTCACTGCTGCTGCTGCTTTGACTGCCGTTACTACTGCCACTGCTGCTGCTGCTCCCACTGCTGCAGCAGGATTTACCTGCTGACACTCGCCACCCAGTGGGCGGCGATTTTGTTGAAGAGACGTTCAACAGAAGAAATGTCGCACAACACCTGAGAAGGCACTGCCACCTCAATACCCTCAAACCTGAAACACAACGCAAAACTCCATCTTTAAATCCTATTTCCTAAACTTTTACTTTCCTTTAAACCCCTATAAGCGGGCCCTATGCAAGGAAAGCAGTTCGTGGATTTTCGTGAATAACAAAGGTCGCGTTCCTCACTGCATGAATATTCATGCTTGTGGGAACATTGGGCAAAGATAACTACACAAGCAGATGGAGTTGTGTCTGTGTCTAGCGATGCTGCTTACCTGCAGCACGAAGCAAAGAGGTTCAGCAGCTCCCGCAGGTCTCCCCGACAAATTCCGCTGGGGTTTGGAGGCCTCGCGGCGAAGTCGATTTTGATCAAAAGAGCAGACAGCCGAAACGACCGAATGAAAACGTCACTAGGGGCCCCTGGGGCCGCCCCTACGCAGAGGGCCCCTCCCCCCTCCACGCCAGCCACAGTTGCACAGGGGGCGCTGCGAAGGGTACTTAACAGGGCAAAGGACGGCGTCCGCTGCATGCGGCGTGGGGACTCGCTGCAGCAGCAGCTCCCGCCGCTGCTGCAGCTGCTGCAGACGCCTCCCTGACGATGATGCCGTTGCGTTGAGGAGCCCCAAGAAGGCCCCATTGTCGGGCCCCGGGGGGGCCCTCTTGGTGACACTAGGAGCTCGAAAGGGTTCACTGCTGCTGCAGGGGGGCCCCAGTCGAAGTTGGAGTGCTCAGCTCTCCTGCGCACCTGCGTCCTCTGCTGGTGCTGCTGCTGCACGTGCTGCTGCTGCCTGTGCGGGTGCGAGCGCTGGTGCTGGTGCTGGTGCTGGCGGCCGTGGTGGCGATGGTACAGCCTCTCCATGTCCGGCCGTGAGAAAGAATAAGAAGTGGAGGGCGAGGCCCCACTACTGCGGCTGCGCGCCCGTTCTCTGGGGGCCCCCGCAGAAGGGGTACCCCTCCTGCTGCATCTCCAGGGAGGGGGCCCCTCATCAGGCAGAAGGCGCGATGGGGGGAGTTCTACAGCCCCGGCCATCAGCAGCTGCTCACTGAAAGCTGCGACGGCGTCGACGGTGCACTGGTGCAGCGACAGGGCAAAAGGCAGCACTTTGATGTCGACGTCGTACTCCACCTGCGGCTGCTCTTGCTGCTGCTGCTGCAGTTGCGGCATCAGCAGCTGCTGCTGCTGCGGAAGATAGTACTCCGTGGCCAGGCAAGTCACCATAGGCAAGGTGGTGGGCCGGGGGCGCACAATTTCATCTTCGTGATACCTTAGCAGCAGCCCAAATGAAGATCCTTCAACAAGATCTTCCACGCTCAAGTCCCTCACGGTGACGCCGAAGAACCGGCTCACTCCACCCCTGCTGCTTCTGCAGTTGCTGCTGCTGTCGCTGCTGCTGCAGGCGACGATCAAGCTGGTGTTGCTCAAACAAAGGCGCAGCAAATCTGCTCTGAGTCCCACAGTCGAGGGACTTCCGTTCGAAAAGTGCGGGTCCTGTGATAAAGTAATGCGCGCCTCCGCAACTTCGACCTCCAAGAGGGGCCCCCAGGGGGCCTCGCGCACAGTGCCTGTCTCGGGCTCCTCTACGAGGGCCCTCTGTCTCAACTGGGGGCCCCAAGGCCCTTTCTGAGCATCCACTGGGGGCCCCACAGGCAGGCTGCTGGTGCGCACGCTGGGGGCCTTCCGGTTGCCTGCTGGGGGGCCCCCAAGGGGGCCCCCAACGGGGCTGTCGAAGGGCAGGGCCTCCGCGGGAGGCTTAAAGTGGTCCTCTGCTGTGACAGAAACCGTCACAGGCCATCTGCTTCTGCTGCTGCTGCTGCTGCTGCTGCTGTCTACAGCATCCCTGTCTTGGCCGCTGTCTCCCGCTCGAGGCGAAACTGCTGCTGCTGCGCTTCCACCCTCTGGGCGGTAGAGCTCTATGACGAGGGCCCTGGCTGCCTCATCCGCCTCCTTCAGTTCCTGAATTGCTGCTGCTGCGCACCCCCTGGGGCCCCTCCTGCGGCCCGCTCGAGGGGCCCCTGGAGCTGTGGGTTCCCCTTCTGCTGCCTCCCAAGAGGACTCGGAGCCGTCGCTGTCGTCTTCTTCTGCTGCTGCTACTGCTGCTGCAGCTGCTTCCCCCGCTGCTGCTGCCGACACGAGAGCCTCCTTCAAGCTTGCTGCAGTGTGCGCCGGTGCTTCTGCTGCTTCTGCTGCAGCGCTCGCAGCTGCTGCCTTCACGTACTGCCCGGTGACCACTGGTCTGGGAGAGCCAGCGGCATCTCCAGCCGCAGGAAAGCTGGGGGCAGCAGCCACGTAATCTCTAATGAGGGCGACGTTGGAGCTTCTCGGCAAACCTGCTGGAGCACCAGAGGCTACCACTGCTGCTGCTGCTGCTGCTCCAGTTGCTGCGGCTGAAGAAGAGCTTCCTGCAAAAGCAGGGAGGGCGACCGCTGGGTACAGCCCCATCGAGTCTTCGTGAAAACTTGCTCTGGGCCTCCCAAGAGGTGGGGCCCTTTCCTCTCCGTCTGTCAGGAAGGCCCCCAAATCGACCCCTGCGAGAAGGTTGACCCCTTGTGGGACCCCCCGGGGCTTGGCATGAAGGGCCCGCTGCGGGGGGCCCCCCAAGCCGCCTTCTGACCGCTCCTCACAGGACTCTTCAAAGCCCTTCTGGTGGACCCCAGAGGCCTCAGCGCCTAAGTCAGCTGCAGGGGCCTCTTGGTGGGGCCCCTGGGGGGCCCCTAGTCCTGTAGCTGCAAGAAACTGAGAGCAGGAACGCATAAACGCTGCTGCTGCAGGGGGCGGCTCCGGCAGAGACAGCAAGTACTGCAAGTCCGCGCAAACGAACAAGAAACAGCGCAGGCTGTCTGGACACAGGACACCCTCCACTGCCCCACACCGCAGGTGCCCCCGAGAAGCCCCGGAGGGGCCCCCGGGGGGTTCACGGGGGCCCCCTAGGGAGAGAGGCCCCTCAACGGGGCCCCCCAGAGAGCGCTGGGCGCAAGGGCTCGCTGGCAGGAGGACTGAACACGCCAAGTCTTCAGCCACCAAGAGCCGCGCCAAACCGCAGAGAGGCAACAGGGGAGCAGCTGCGTCTGCCCTGAAGACAAGAGCTGGCACGGGCTCTCTGTGATTTGCTGCTGCTGCTGCTGCTGCTGCTGGCGCTGCCGGCGCTGCTGCTGCTGCTGCTGCTCTCGCCTTGTCGCTTGAGCTGCCAATTAATCTATTGTCTCTTCTAACGCAGCCCTTGCAACAGCTGCAGCAGTGGGGGGCGTTTGAGGGGTCCCTGCGTCCCCCATAAACACCAAAGGGCCTACTTATGAGCGGGGAGGGCAGTGGCACCAGCGACAGCTGCTGCAGCGACACTCCAGCCTCCACTGCTAAACGGCACAAACGAGTCCCCTCATCTAGCAGATACAGCTCTAGAGAGCTGCAGTTAAGCCCCAGAAGCAAGCCTGCTACTGCTGTTGCTGCTGCTGCTGCTGCACCTGACGTCGCTGTGTCCGCTTCAGCTGCAGTGGCTCCCTGTTTGGAAGCTGGCTCTTTCCCCTTCTGCGGCTGCTGCTGCTGTTGCTGTTGCTGCTGCTGCTGCCGCAATTCAACTCTAAGAGCATCTACGTGCATCACAGCCAGCCACCCCGACCCCTCCAAGTTGAGAGGCGTCTCCGCCCCGCAGCCTGGGGGCGCCGCTGCAGACCCATCAGAGGCCCCTTCCCATTCAGGGGAGCTTCCGTGGAGAGCTGCTGCTGCTGCAGCTGCTGCAACTGGCGCAGCAGCTGTGCTTGCTGCTGCTGCTGCTGCTCGTGGCGGGGCTGCTGGACCTTGAAGAGCTTCTGAAGGGCGTGGGAAGAGCAGCAAACTCTGGTATACGCTGGCCTTGAGACGGAGGGCCTCGAACGACACTGTCAGTTCTCTATCTTCCCGTAGCTGTTGTAGCTGCTGCTGCTGCTGCTGTTGCTGCTGTTGCTCGCAGGCCGTAGCAGCCACAGCACACCGCTCAAGAACAGAAAGTGCCGCCGCTGCGCCTTGTAGCGCCAGTGAACTGCAGACACCCACTAGGCACTCCATGTTCGCCTTTGCCGTTTCCACAGAGACACAAGCCCTCCTGCAGCTGCCGCTGCCGCTGCTGCTGATGCTGCTGCTGCCGCGCCGGCCCATTGCCTCGAGGACGCAAGCCTCGGCCAGGACTGAAAGGACGCAGTCTCGTTCTTGAACTGGAACGCCTTGTGGGGCTCCATCAGTAGTTGCGGCTGAGGGCCCTTGACGCACTGCAGCAGCAGCAGCTGCTGCTGCTGTAGCCGCTGCTGCTGCCACGCCACGCGGGGAACTGCAGCCGTGGTATAGAGAAGCCCTCCATGTGTAAAGGACAGGCTCGGAGCAGCAGAAGGCAGCTAAACTTCCTAAGGAGAGAGACCCCAGCAGACGGTTGCTTACATCTGCTGCTGCTGCTGCTGATCCAGCTGCTGCTTCTGCTGTGGAGGGCAGCCGCGGAAGGCATGACAAGGAACAAACGAGCCTTCCTAACTCGATGTAAACCCCAGAGCTGCAGGTGGCGCATCGGGCTACCGGCATTGCTGCTGCTGCTGCTGCTGCTGCTGCTGCATTTCCAGGAGCAAAGCCTTCTGATGAGACAGCTCCTCCATAAGAGACTGCCAGTTCGCTGCTGTTGCTGATATTTCTGCTGCTGCTGCCGCAGTCGGAATATAAACAGCAATCTAGTGAAAGGGCCCCGAGTGACACGTTGATACTGCTGCCAGGCGTGCAAAGCAACCGCCTCCACAACGGCTCTCTGTGCTGCTGCTGCTGCAGTTGCTGCTGTTGCAGTTGCTGCTGCTGCAGTTGCTGTTGCTGCTGCTCTGCATCAACTGGCATTTCCGTGTCTCTCCTAAGGGCCTCAATAGTCGACGAAATACTGTGCAGGAAGGCCCCCAAGGGGACGACTACGTCGGGGTCCAGAGACGCCTCAACAAAGGGCACATGCAGCGACAGCACTTCACACGCTTGTTGTGGCAGCAGCTGCTGCTGCTGCTCTGCGCAGCGCAGCTCGCGCTGCTGCTCTGCAGCTCCCGCCCACCACCTTCCTTCGTTGTCAGTGGCTTCAGCAGGAGCTGTCGCAGCAAACACGCGCTCAGAGGGGCTTGATACCGCTCGACTTGCCGCAGCAGCTGGCGGCTCGCGTGCTGCTGCTCCTGCTGCTGCTTCTGTTGCTGCTTCTGCTGCTGCAGGAGTTTCGTAGGCGACTAGGTCAAGGCATTCGTACGAGGCCGACGGGGCTGGAGTTGTCAGCATCGCCAGCAGCGGCACAAAGCGGCCCTTCAGGCTAGCCGGAGCTGCACCCAGATATTCGCTCGCAGCACTTGCTGCCAAGTGGGCCCTACAGGGGGCCCCCTCGGCCAAGGGGCCCCCAAGAGATGCCCGTGAGTGGTCCCTCGTAGAGTCGCTAGGCACACAGGTAGCAAACAGAAGCCTGTGCACCCACGGCTGCTTCCGGAACCGCAGCAGCTGCAGCTGGTCACTCTCTTTGTAAAGCAAGAAGCAGCACACGTGCTGCTCCAGCGACAGAGACGCTTGGCGGGGCCGACGCAACTCTGTATCTCCCGTGGCGCTGCTGCTGGTGAGACTGCTGCTGCTGCTTTCGTTCCTGTCGCTTCTGCTGCTGCTCAAGAGCCTGCGTCCTGGGCAGTATGAGGCTTTCACGGAGCACACATCTACAACAAGGCAGGTACTGCTGCAGCTGCTTCTATCGTCTCTGCCGTTGCTGTTGCTGCTGTTGTTGCTGTTGCTGCAGCAAGTGTTGATGCCGCAGTCCTTTTCACGCATTCCAAAAGCTTTGCCGGCCTCCATAGTCTGTTTCTTGGCTGGAGCTGCTGTTGCTGCCAATGCTGCAGGCTCTGCTGCTGCTGCTGCCTCTACTTCCCCTCCTGCTAACGGCTGTGGTCTTGCTTCAATGTTGTTAACAGCCCCGATGTGGAGACGCAAACAGGATACCGACATTCCCCAAAATACAGGCAGCTTCTCCGCAAGACACGACGGTTCTGCTTGCCCCGCTGCTGCTGCTGCCACTGCTGTGCAGTCCAAGCGTTGTGCTGCAGCAGCAGCATCGGCCGCTGCAGCACCGTGCGCCGGCAATAGAGCAGCGGAAGCCTTGTCACAGACCTTTGGAGCAAACAAGCGCAGCAATGAAGCAAAAGCAAAACACACTGCACCCAAGAGCACAGCGGTTGAATGTGGGGTATGAGTCCAGCAGCAGGAGCTCTAGCGAGGAATCCCGAAACAACAGCAAAGTGGCTGCAAACACCAGCAGCAGAAACAGCAGCACTGACAGCAGCAGCAGCCATTACCTGTAAGATCTCCCCTAGAGCGTCAAGGGGAAGCTGACCAATCACAGCCTCGATGCTTAAATCTGTCCACAGAGCAGCCGCTGCAGCAGCTGCTGCAGCAGCAGCTGCAACAGCAGCAGACGCAGCTGGTGAGGAATCTGCATGGATCGCCTGACTCAGAGAAAACGCACTGGCCGGATTGACAGTTTCAACTGCTTCCGTTCCTGCTGAAAGGGGAGAAACGCTGTGGAGCCCTGAAGCGACGCTGGCAGCCCCAATGATGTCTGTACACTGCAGCACCGCTGGAGGCATCTGCAGCAAAGGATGAAAGAAGTAGCAGGTCCGTAGTGTGACCAACGGTCTATTTGCCGCTCTCTCGACATCCCAGAATGGCTCCTCTTTGAAAGTTTTGAATAGCGGAAGCCCAATCTCAGCTTCGTTCTTAGAGCTCGAGAGCACGCTTTCATAGTCTCCAGCTGCTGCTGCTTCTGCTGCTGCTTTCTGCGGCGTACGATTGAACGGAATGGGCGCGCAAACCGGAGCCACGAGGGCGCTGTCTGGCACTGATCGTTCCAACTCCTCTGGGACTCTCATGACCCACAAACCCAAGCTGCTGCTGCTGCTGCTATATCTTCGGTGTGTAGGAGAGTGGTATTCTGCACACGGAAAGGCACCAGAAAGACTCATGCCTGCCTCGGACTCCGGCCACTCCCTCCAGCCGCCTGCTCCTCCTTTGCTGCTGCTGCAGCATTGCTCATGTGGGGCCCTAAGGCCTGGAAAAGGGGCCCCTGGGCGTCTGCAGCAACAAGGGCTGCTCCTGCTGCAGTCACTGCGGCTGCGGCAGCTGCTGCCACAGCTGCTGTTGCTGCGAGAGATGAATGGGTGGTGCCTCCTGAGCTCGCAGGTGCGACGCTTCTGCCTATGCAAGTGGTTCTCCACTACTGCTGCTGCTGCTTCCGCTTCCACTGCAGCATCGCCCTGTTTTGTGCTTGCCAGCGCCTCTCTTCTGGCCCCAAAGAGCAGCACGTGGGCTTTGTACTCATCCGGGGCCCCACAAAATGCGCCCCCAGTTGTTGCAGCTTGAAGAACCTCCGTAAGCTCTTCAAGAGTTAGTGATTTCATCTGCTGCATATCACGGAGGCCGCTGCCGCCGCTGCTGCTGCTGCTGTCCTTGAGTGACACGGAAGACACGCTGCTGCTGCTGCAGTTTGATGAAACAGCAGTGAACAATGGGGCCTTGGTCTCTCGCGCCTGCGTGAAGCAACTGAAAAGAGAAGAAGTGTCGCCTACAAGTCTCACGGCTGCTGCTACTGCTGCTGCTGTTGCTGTTGCTGCTCGGGGTGCTCCTGGTAGCCCTTGTTCGCTCGCTGCAGCTTCTTCGGCTGCTCCTAGTGCTGCTGCTGGCCCAGCAGCAGCAGCTGCCTGCTGCAGATGCTGCTGGGGAACAGCTTGCAGGGGGTCGTCGAGCACTTCTCCCCCCAACAAACCACTCCATAGAGCTTCCTCACTATCGCTGGCGGAGCCCCGCGACAACGCGAAGCCCACAGAAGCGCCAGCAGGAGCAGTTGCTGCTGCTGGCAACTCTGCTGCTGCTGCTGCAGGCTTGCCCTGCTTAGACTTTGCGAAATCTCTGCCGGCCTTCTTTCGCCCTGCTGCTGCTGCCTTGGCTGCTGCTCCTGGTTTCGTTGCTGCTGCTGCTTCTGATGCAGCGACTTCCGGAGTGCCGGCCTCTGGCGTCCTGCTGCACCGGGGAGAGACAAACGTGCTGCTGCTACGCCTTCCTCCAGGCTGCTGCAGCGTTGCCCCTTGCTTCTTTCCAACAGATGAGGTAGCGGCAGCAAGTGCTGCTGATGCTGCTGCTGCCACCGACGCTGCAGCGGCAGCGTCCGAGTCGAGTTCCTTATGCTTGAGGCCGTTACCTTTGGTGCTGCTGACTCCCTCTGCTGCTTTTGCTGCTCTTGCTGCTGCCGTCGCTTTGGCTGCTGCTGCGGCTGAAGTTCGCCCTCGGCGCCCTCTCACAACAGCATATGAGATGCCGCTTGAGACGGGTGTATTCACCTTTTCGCTGTCTGCCGCTGCTTCCGAAGCATCTTGCTTTGTGGCTGTCGCTGCTTCCGCTGCTGCTGCTGCCGGCGATGCAAAACGAGCGGCGCCCGCAGCAAGGCTCTTTGAGGCTTCTTCTCCGTCTTCAACTTTCCTGCCATTTGATGTTTTGGACTTGCTGCTGCTGCTGTCTTCACGGCTACTGCTGCCCTCGCTGCTGCTGCCCTCACTGTTCCTGCTGCTGCTCTGGAGGCTGCTGCTTTTGCTGCTTCTGCACTTGCAGCTGCTGATGCCGCTGCCGCTGCTGCTGCTGCTGCTCTGTGTTTGGCAGCTACTGTTACTGCTGCTGCTGCTGATAGTGTCAAGAGCCTGCTCCGTCTCTGCTAGCCCTTCTGATGCTGCTTGTGTCACTGGCAGTTTCGAGTGGGGTGATTGGACACGTGCGCTCTGGCATGCACCCACTCTGCTGTTGCAGCTGCCTTCTGCTGCTGCAGCTACATTGCCCTTCAAGTCTGCGAGCTCGTCCTTCCTAAGGGGCCCTTTAGAGCCCTCAGGGCCCACGCCTCTTTGGAGGCAATCCGCATCCAAGTCACTTAGCTCAGCGCTTCCGCTGCTCTGTTTGCTGGCGCTGCTGAGTCTGCTGCTGCATTTGCTGCTGCTGCTGCAGCTGCTGCTGCAGCTGCTGCTGCAGCTGCTGCTGCAGCTGCTGCTGCAGCTGCTGTTGTAGTTGCTGCTGCAGTTGCTGCTAGAGTTGCTGCTGCAGTTGCTGCTGCAGTTGCTGCTGGGCTTGCTGCTGGACTTGCTGGTGTGGCTGCTGCTGGACTTACTGCTGAGCTGCAGAGCTGGAGAGCTCGGCAAAACAGAAGGAACTCGCAGGGACTCAAGAGAAACAGCGTCCTCAGTGTCCCTGGCTGCTTCGGCGTCTTCTGGGGAGTTCCCTGCAGCGTTTGCTGCGGCGCCCGCCGCAGCTGCAGCTGGCGCAGTGCTTGCTGCTGCCGCTGCTGCTGTTGCATCAGCAACGAGCACTTCGTGTCTCTCTGGCGCTGTGGTCTGCCCATTCAGTTTGTCTAAGCAGCTCCAAACTCTTGTCAGAAGACCCCCGGGGGCCACTGGCGAAGCAGCTGTGGCCCTTGGCCGCTTTGCCTCGAAAAACTGAAGAGCCCACTGGCCGATAGAGACGACGCTCTGTATGACGCAGACAGGGAGGGCCTGCTCTCGGTGCTGCCGCTGCTGCTGCATGTGCTGCTGCTGTTGCTGCTGGCTCAGCAAATTGTGCGGAGGGATGCCCCCTGCAATGCCAGCGTGAGAGCCTGCTCTAGGTGCGGCTGCAGCTGCTGCAGCGCACGCAGCAGCCGGCGCTGCCTTGGGCATCAGGAGCACCGTATCAGGAAATGCGCAGCCAGCAGACGCATATCCACAGCCGCCGCTGCTGCTGCTGCTGCTACTGCTACAGTTCGGCGAAAAGACGGAAATCGAGAAATCCGAGACACTCAGAGACATGATGTGCGTAGACGGCAAAGGGGTATACAGGAGGCAATAGGGGGCGCCCTTGAGGAAAGCTCTCACCAAGCTGGGAGAAACAGCTGCTGCTCCGTTTGCTGCTGATGCCGCCTCAGGACGCCCAGTGCCCACGAATTCCCCAGCAGCAGCAGGCCGCGTGGCTTGCTGCTGTGCAGCATCTCCCCCCGTGGGCCCCTCTCCTAGGTCTTCTGCGGATGCTCTGCGGATCCCCCAATTAGAGGAATTTCGTCTTGTGGCTGGAGGGCCCCTCTGGGGCCCCCAAGGCAGCCCGCAGTCTGGCAGCAGCAGCGGACAAAAGTCGCTACTGGCTACAAAGTGGAGAGCAAGGGACTCAACTGATATGCTCACTGCGTAGGAAGCACGAGGAGCGACAGCCGCAACAGCTGCTGCTGCAGGCGCCGCTGCTGCTGACGACGATACTGCTGCTCCAGCCGCAGCTACTGCAGGAAGGCTGCATGCTGCTACTCTGCAGCTTTCCGAAGCAGCTGCATAGGCAGCAGGACGGTCCTCACTGTGAGCGCCACAAGTAGCAGCAGGAGCAGCCACAGCCTTGCTGCATGCCTGCAATGCCTCTCCCATTTGCGCCTGCTGCTGCTGACGGTGCGCTTGAGGCCCTAGGCGACCGTGAAGGGATTTACTTGCTCCTCTCTGTCTCAGCTGCTGCTGCGCCTCCACTCCTGCTGCCGTTGCGGCCTTATCCAGACGCGAGCCATGATGCTGCTGCTGCGGGGTTAGTTCGGTCGTCTGCTGCTGCAGTAGCCCTTGCTGCCCCTCCCCCGCTTGCCCGCCTTGCTGCAGCAGATGCTGGTGCTTCTGCTGCTGCACGTCTTGGACCTTTTTCTGCAGTTTCCGTTGAAGTCCGTGCTGCTGCCGCTGGTGCTGCTGCAGCCGCTCCTGTTGCTGCTGCTGCTCGAACTGAGGAAAAGGCAGCACCTCTCCCCCCAAAGACATCCCTGTCTCCTCAGCATCCAGGAGGCCCCCAAAAGTCTCCAAGGCTGCAGCTGCCGCCTCACGAGAAGCCACCGGGGGCCCCGGCTGGCAGAAGGCCACAGCGCGCCGCCACCAGGGGGCCCCATGGAGCGGCTTGCCACGAGTTGGGGGCGCCCCCCCAAGCTCTGGAGTCTCTGGGGGCCCCAACGGTACCATAGAGTGCCAGCTCTCTCTGTCTTCGTCCCCCTCATCAGCGGATATGACATTGCCTGTGAGCTCATCCAGCAGCCCTTGCTGCCTCGAACTGCTGCAGCAAGGGATGCTGCTGCAGCCAGAAACAGGCATGCCACTGTTGTCGCCGCTGTTCCTGCTTCGCACTGCTGTTTCGTTGGCTGTTTTTGCATCGTTCGCTGCTGCTGCTGCTGCCGCTGCTGCTGTTGCTGATCCACACGCAGAAAGACCCTCTTTAAGCTCCCTTGGGCTTTCCAGGTGGCTCCTGCGGCCGTTTCTTCTGCTGCTCGCTCCGTCGCTGCTGCTGCCACTGCGGCTGCTGCCGCTTCGACACCTAACTTTGGAACACCCAGGACCTGCGGGAGCCCCCTCGTACAGGCCAATGGTCTCGCCTATGAGTCTCAGGATCCTGAGGTGCTCCGTCCCCACCAGGACTAGCACTAGCGGCACAGAGAGACAAACGCCGTAGTCAAAAACAGCTTGTGCTGCTAGACTGCTGCTGCTGCTAATGCTGTTGCAAGGGCACCCACGGAAGCAACTGTCGCAGCTGCACCTTCCTGGGGTCCATCCGCCTGCTGCTGCTGCCGCAGCTGCTGCCGCTGCCGCTGCAAGGGGCGCGCTGGCATGAACAGCAAGGGCAGCAGCGGAAGCAGCACCCGCAGCGGCTCCAGGATTATCAACTTGCTGCTGCCGGGCTAAGAGTGAGAGGCAGTCCTCAGTGTGAGCCTCCGACTGCATAGCGGTGACTGCACTCAGCGGCGCCTGAACGGCAACTCTGCCAATGATGACAGGGTCCTCGTTGCCCCCTCCATCATCCCCTGCTGCTGATGCTGCTGCTGCTTCTGCTGTTGCTGCTGCAGCAGCGGCGGGGAGTGCCGCAAGCTCTGCTGCTGCTGCTCCGTCTGCCGGGGCCACAACAAAGCCTTTCATGGGCCCACTAAAGGCGCTGACAGGCGCAGGCCAGCCACTGTGAACGTTAGGGGCCTTAGTGCTGAGCAGCAGCAGTCCAGCAGCACCGAGCCAACTGTTGCTGGCCCTCGAAGTGAAAGCCTCCAGGGGAAGCGAAGGCAGCAGAGAGACTTGGCAGCTGCCCAGCTGCAGCTGAGCGCAGCCCGCATAAGAGTCGCAGCCGCGCACTTCTTCAAGGTGCAGCCGTACAGCCCAGAGAGACCGCGGGACGCCATCATGGCCTGGGGCCCCTCTAAGAGTGGCCCCTCCATAGGGGGCCCCTTCAAAGGAACCCTCTCGAGATCCCGCCTTCAGACGCCGCCGGCGGCTTTCTCGGCGGTCCTCTCCTGCAGCAAAGCTGCGAAAACGCGGAGGGTCCCTTTGAGAGGCCTCGCAGGATTCACGCCCTCCCTCTGTGTCTCTTGCCTCTCCCCCGCCCCAGCCTGGGGCCCCCACAGCCGCCCTGGCCTTGCCAGCCCAACGTGTGGGCAGTTCAAAAGCCCCCGAGGTCTCTGGTGCACAAGGGCTGCCCCTACACCCCTTTTCAAGGGGCTGTTCAGCCGTCTCGTCTTGATAAATGCAAATGACCGCCATTTCTATGGACAAGTCGATGGCCCCTGCTGCGCTCTGCAAAGCCCTCCGAAGCAAAGCAAGCAGAGAGTCCACGCTGTACAAGGCACTGTCAGACACAGGCAGGTGGCCCCCGCACCCTCCTGGAGCCCCCAAGAGGGCTCCTGCAGGGGACCCCCATTCGGAGCATCTGGGGGCTCCCACGCAGACCTCCGGAGGCCCCAGTGATCCCACACAGAAAGGGCCTCCAATCAAATTACTTCGTTCATTCTGTTGCGCATGCTGCGTGCCCTGCACACATGTGCTGCCATCCACAGGCTCTCTGCCTGCTGCTGCCGCTGTCGCCGTTGTTGCTACTGCTGCTTGTGCTGCTGCTGCCTCAGCAGCAGCCGATAAGCCACCACTCACGGACCCCAGGCCCAGATTTTCTCCTGACATGTGGGCATCTCCTTGCACTCTCCCCGTCTTGCAGAGCTCCGTTGTGGAGTGTCCGTGGGAGTGCTGGGGATTTCGTTGGTGCAGGTACTTTGCTGCTGCCGCGGCTTCTGCATCCGCTGCAGTGGCTGCTGCAGCAGCTGCAGTAGCTGCAGCCTGTTGGACTGAAGGGTAAGGCGCGGGATACGGGAGGCACTGGCTTGCGAGAGACTGTGGGGGCCCTCGAAAGCGCAAAGCGACGGCTGGCCTGAAGATTTTGAGGGTGAGGGGCAACTTGAGACTGATGCACTCTACGTGGCAACTAACCACCGCCAAGAAGCCCCAGCCTGCAGCTTGAAGAGCCTCATTAAGAGGACCCGTCTCTATGTCTACAGATAGGAGACATACCTCGCCCCCTCGCACCGCCACATCCAGCTGCTGCTTACTCAGGTGCTTCAGCAGAGACCCCAGCACCACCCGCCGCAGCGAAGCAGCTGCAGCATCGCGTAGAGTACGCTGCAGCAGCTTCAGGAGCCTGCCCCACAGCGACGGCTCGCTCATCTCAAATGCCTGCGAGAAGCCGCTGGGGGCCCCTAAGGCAGGCCAGAGCACCAGAGGCAACGGGCGTGCCTCTACAGATCATAAGGCAGAAGGTCCGAGCATACAGTCAGAGCCCTGCGAACCATCGTGCTGCTCCTGCTCCCCCTGCTTCTGCGGCTGGCGGCGCTGCTGCTGCTGCTGCTTTTGCTGCTGCTGTTGCTTCTAAGTGGTAAAAAGTTCGTTGTGCTGCGGAACACAAGCGCCACTGCATGGAAACCTAGGTGGCACCGCTGCCGAGATGCAGCAGCTGCAGCTGCTGCAGAGAAAATGAGCCCTTACTAAGGGCGTCTAAAGAACCAGCCGCGGGCCCCCGTAAGAGTCTGGATACCGAGAGGTCCTGTGGTCGGCCTATGGCGGCTAGTGCTGCCCTGGGAGTCCAGCTGCCTAGTCAATGTGATGTACATCAAAGAGACGGGCAGCTGGAGAAGGGGAAAAAGACAAGGAAAACGGACAGAGAAAGGCGCCACTGCGGTTGAAGTCAATGGAGTGGGTGTGCACGCCCGCTTGCTGCCGACGGGACTCGGGAAGGTCCCGAAAAATCCTCAGTGACCTACTAAAACTCGGCTTTGGCCTGAAGAGAGGCAGAGTGAGCTCAAAAAGCAGCCCCCGTGGCCACCTGGCGCCAGTGCTCTGGCCTTTCCTTTGTTGTAGGGGCCCTCAGGGAGGAAAAGCAAATAAGTAACGCCACAAAACAATAATTAATCCTTTAAGATTTCATAAATAGACTAGGTCTGTCGGAAAACGAGGCAAAAACAACGCCAAAGTGCGAAGGTCCCGCACTTGGCTTCTTTGTTTCATCTTCCCACTGCGCCTCTGTTAGCAGCCTGGCGCCCGTAAGATCTTGCAAAGAGCTATTCGCCACCTACTTCCTCACTTCCTTTTTACGTTATCTATTTTAATTGTCTTTTCTTTTCAAGGTACTAATATCAAATTGTTACAAGTCACAGACATAGAAGCAAACGGCTCCCCCTTCCTCGTGTAGAACGGACCAATGTTGTCAGTGATGGATACATTACAGAAGCCGGCATACGGACCTCAGCGTGTGCTAGTGTCTGCCATGTGTCTCGGTTTTCCTTGTGTATCCCATTTGGATTAGTACATTAATAAATTAAAAATTAAACACATTTTTATGAGGGTAGCAGTCCAGCAGTTGAGCCTCTGCAACCACGGAATACACGGCGTGCCGGGCTGGTGGGAGGGTCACACCAAGCCCGGAAGACTGCATGTGACTCGCCCAGCTGTTCCCTTTTGCTTCCCGTTATTTGTTGTTTAATAACACGTTTATTGCCTCTTAAACAATCAACACCTAAAGCGTTCGAGTAAGAAGCAGAGTAGGCCCCTCAACCTAACTGCAGCCCACGTACCCAGAAGGATCTACAGCCACTTCGATGCAAACGCTCTCTGGGCTGGGGCCCCCTCATGCATGCGGCTGCTCGTCTCTGTCCGTACTTACAGGCAACATAATATTGAAAATAATAATGAAAATCAAATAGGCAACAGTACATATCCTGTCATTATTCAGGGGCCAGCAGACAAACCAAGGAGAAGGGTGGGGGGCTGAGAGGGTCACCTCAAAGCATCTGCTCTTCTCTGTTAACTCTGTAGCTACACAGAATGCAGGACTTATGCGTCCGAGTCTAGACTCATGTTCTGAGGCATGGACTGACGCAAACAGCTCACTGTCCCTTGGTCCCGTCGGCTCCTGAGACCGGAGCCCACTGGTATTCGAGCTTAGGCGCTCATGCGTCTGCAACTGGCTGCAGTGAAGCGTGGGGTTTCGGCCCCACGCTGCAGCCCCTGCGGCAGCCAAGCGCAGGGGCAGGGACCCCCTAGCCCTTCTCTGTCTTACAAGAAACTACTTAATCAATGCAACGCCGTCCTGGAGGCCCTTACAAAAGAGAACCAAAGCATAGATATAATTCAGGCGAGCCTTTCAAAGTGAGACGGTCAAAGTCGATTCTACAAAGCTGTCAAAAATAAGTTGCCGGTGCAAGCAGGCAAATAAATAAACGGACGTACAGCTGTAATTGCGCGCGTATGTGTACAAGAACGAAACGTAGCGAGTAGGCGGATACTGCATACAGGAACTGCAAGTTTATTCGCGCATTCGCAGTACTTAGAAATGAGCATGTTAACTGAAAGCAGATGTCTGGGTCCAGTTGTGTGTGTAAGCACATCATTGCAGTGTTGTGCCCCCGCTCCTACCGTCAGTTGCTCTCTTGTCTTGACTGGAAACGGGTTTTGTTTCACGAAGCAGACATAGAGAAAGATGAAATTTACTTTTTCGGGCGCATTTCAAGGGCACACGGCAGGGGCGCTGGCGCAATATATAGCTAGCCACAATTAGCCACAAGCAACCCGTTAGTGCACAATCTGCAACCTTTCTTCCTAATCATTGTGACGAGTGAATTTCCTTTAAAAAATGGGGAGAAGGAAAAGACAGAGCAAGTAACGGAGAGACAAAGGCAGAAGCGAGTAGACAGAAAGCACCAGAGGTGTCTGAGTCTGCACGCAGGGGCAGTACTTTCCATGCGTGTAGCAGCGGTTGTGGATACACCCCAGCACTTTATTTCCCTCTTCTTTCAGCGATAAAGGAACACAAGAATGATATTGTAATGGGGAACCACAAGTAAATGTTTGCATATGATCTTGGCGTGTCTCAGAGATATCTCTGCAACATCTGCGGCCTTTGTTTGTCAACTGGCTGACCGAGTTCTCTGCGAACAGCAGCTGCTGCAGCCAGTAGTGAACTCTTTCCTGCGGCAGTTCCGCTCGGGTCCTACGCAGGGTCACCAACACATGTACAGCCTGCTTGTATATATGGCCACTTTCCTCTTGCCCGAGATAGGAATCGAAGCTTTTGCTGGATTTGTCCGAGTCAGTGCGGATCTCCCGCGAGGTCTCTGCAAGACTAAACATAGGCTCGAAAGCAGCAATAGGAAGCGAGACAAGCAAATATAGCACACACTGGAGCCGCGAAACAGACTGAAATATGGGCAAACACTAAGACATACAGAGAGCAACGTAGAGGGTAATAACCCGTGCACGGAGCGCACAGGCACCACAGGAGCAGGAATTTTCTTAGAAAAGGGAAAGAAGAGATAGCTAAGACATGAAACAGACTGGAAACACGCTAAGGAAATACAGGGATAATAATGCGCGAAATCCCGCACGGAGAAGGAAGCGCAAGCGTAAGTAGTCAGAGGATCAGACGGAGATAGTAGCGGACAGACGTGAACTCCCATCACTGTTGGGTTTGTTCCTTCAGGGATATGGAAATCCCTCAGTGATGTTTTCTCTCTTGAACTTTTTGTTTGATGAGGATAGCCTCCGACGCCATGTCCTTCCAGCCTGGCAGCTTTGCTACGATACAGAATACATAGAGTCTACAATTTTTCCAAAGATTAAACGGGCCCAACAGGCATCCTATTCACTTCTTTTCGCCCTCAAGAGGTTGGCAGAAGCATCCAAGAAGCGTCAGGGGATCCAAGAGGTCCCGAGGTCTTGGAGAAGCGCGGGGGGCTCCTCCGCATCTAAAAGCCCTAGAGTTAATAGCCCCCCGCAAGGGGAGACGAGCGGCGGCAAGGCAGCATGGAGAAAAAAGAGCCCAAAGGGCAGAGCCGTCCTGTACGTGGACAAAGGAGCCACTGGCGACTGTCCTTCGGCGGCTCCTGAGGGGTCTGCAGGCCCCAGAGGGGCCCCACGCCGGCGCCACACAACGCCACTAGCCGGCTCATCTCAGCGGATCCTCGACAAGTGCAAGGAAAGCATGAAACAGAGAAAGGCTACTTGTGTCCTCTCTCTCTCGAGGCCCAATCTGGTTTCATCACGCTTCTCAGGGGACGAGAAACCAACTGCAGAACGGAGCGAAAACAAAGATGGTACTCCTCAGAAGCTCGAGTGTGCAGCGGCCGCAGATGCCGCTCCTGCTGTCAGTGAAGTGCTCTTAGCTGCAGAAGCACCTCCTCTCGAGGACAAAGGTGTTTCTTTTCCAGACAATAAGGACGCAGCGGACATAGCCATGGAAACGGGTGAAGCAAGTGAGGCGCCGAAAATGTCAACAGAAGACGACATCGAATCGACGCCAGCTGCCAACTCAAGCAAAGAGCAGCAGCAGCAACTGCAGATGCAAGCGGTGAAGGGCGTATCCAGGGAGGCCTCAGGAAGGTCAAATTTGAAGGTTACAGGTGATACGCAGCGGTCGCTGTTTTGTTCAAATTTGGGGCGAATTAATATGCAACTCACATCAGGACACAAAATCCAGTCTGTTTGTGCAAAACATACTCTTTGTTTGTGGCTGTGTTCTCTCTTCTCGTTTTCTGGGCGTTTGTGTCTGTTTTACGTTACCTCTGCCCATTACTAATGCGCTTTTTATTTATCACGGCAAGGAAGAATGCCTGCATCCGTGGCTCTTCCTTAGTTTTTGACTGTTTTACAGTAAATTTTGTTCTTTGCAGTTCCCAGACCTTTCGTTTTTATGACGGCTAGAAGACCAACCAATTTGGCCGCTTTGCGTCTGCAAGCCGAAGAAAAATTCAAATCGACACATCTCTTTAGGCGTGAGCTTCTTCACTGCCTTTTCTTCCATTTTTGCTTGTTCCTTTCTGCTTGTCCGGTGGAATACCTATTTCATCCCCCTCAAGTCTCAAGTCTTATAATGCTTCCGGTTCATTGTCGCTTTTGCTGTCCATTTGCTTTTGCCTGTAACTGTGTATTTGGCCTTGCATTAGTGGCAAGGCTCATGTTTTCGTCTTTCCGTAGGCATATTCGCTTCTGCTGACATACATTCATGTCTTACACTGCATGGCAGTGCTTACATGTGTTCACACCTGAGCATGTATAGTGTGAAGATGCAAAAAGGCGTTATTACAACTCCTCACAATGATGAAGTTTTCATAAACATGAAAGTATTTTTAGTTGTGTGAAGGTTCATGAATGCCTTAATGCAAGTACTCACAATCTTGAGTTTTTCATATAGATAAACGTGCCACGCTTGTATGCTCGTCGTCGCAGCTAAAATTGTCTCTTCTCTTCCTTCTTTTCTCCACCGCCGGCCGCAGCAATCCGTCAGACACACAACGGCGTCCCTAAGACGAGCTGAGAGTTTGCTTCTGCTACAGGTACACCCCTAAACAGAACACAGCAGATTCGTGCGTGTGATGCCCTCTACCCTGGTCGTTGAACTATAAACCATGAAATACCAGAACGAAAGCGCCAGCTATTGGCCAAAGGCACAAACTTTGGGGCCAGAGCTGCAAGGCATGACGTAGAGAGTAAGACATGGCACAGCGAACTACGGATATCAAGGCTATCAGGCTCTGGCTATCAGACACAGTAGTTTAGGGCTTAGAGCGTGCAGGCGGAGAGGCGCAGAAAGGAAGGCGAATCACTTTGCTCTTTCGAGGGAAGCCGCTCTTTGGACAGTCTAAACGGCATGCAGGAAAACGAAGTTGATGAAGAAAAAATGAAGCTGGTAGCAATTAGAAAAGCAAAAGCGAGGATGTCCAGGTGCTGCTTTTGCTGGTGCTGCTTGCGTGCCACTGCTACTGGTGCTGCTACTGCATCCCATGCACACTACCGCTACTACGATTGCTCATGCTGCGGCCACTGCTGCTAGTGCTTGGCTGCAGCTGCTGCAGCTGCGGTTGTTGTCCTTGCAGCCTCCGCTGTTGCTGCCGATGACGTTACCAGTATTGCCACTGATAGTGATTGTAGTTTGGCACTCTCACTGCCGTAAATTTGCGTGGGTTAGAAAGTTTTGTCACGAGTGCATCTGCGTGAGTGTGCTGCGCTCAGGGCTCGCGCTTTGCGTGCTGCTGTTCTTGCTCGACAGAGAAAGGCTGCAGAGGCTCGTAAAGAGAGACAAACAGAGACGGAGTGGCTGTCAGCACGAAAAGAAGAGGAAGTGAAGAAACTGCGGCAGCTTCCGGTCAAGCGACAGGCCACACGATCTCAACTCCAAGAGAACACCAGAAAAGCACTCCTGGAGGTACGACTAAATAAAGCGTGGAGCAGCATAAACATTTGCATAAATGCAAGCAGGTTCAGGCACAAAGATAACATGGGATGCAAAAACAGCAGGAGACACGGAGACAAAGGTAGAGGCGCAAAGTGCTTTCATTTATTTCAGCATCTGCGTGTGCGTTTGCTCCTGCAATAAGTAGAAAGATGTGCCTATGCGTTACTCTGATGGATTTTGTGTGCTTCATTGGCCTCTTCACTATGGGAGCAGCTGCTTGACAGAAGAACAGTCCGCGCAGAGCAAGTACGGAGAGAAAGACAAGAATTGCGCAGGGCACTGCTCAAGTAAGCAAGCATATGTTGCTGCGTCTGCTGCTGCTACTACCTTTACTGCTGCGGCTCCGCGACCTTTTGGCGCTGCTGTTGTCGCAAAGTGCTTGCTGTTTCTTTTGATTTTCTTGAAGCCGCTGGATCAGCTTCTGTTTTTGCAGCACCTGTGAGCTCTCAACCAATCAGCAGAGCGACTGTTTCTGCTGTGCTGCTGACCCTGCTATAGTAGCTGATGCTGCAGTCACCACTTTTACTGTTATTTGCCGTTGCTGCAGGCAGTCTATGGATACGGCAGTGAAGAAGCGCATGGCTGCCTCCCAGCTACGGGAGTTGACTCGAGCGTCATCAATCATTGCTGAAATGAAAAGAGCAGCAAGCCTACGGGTTCGCAAGGATCAAACCACTTCAGGCAACAGCAGAACCGACGCTGCATTCCTTGGCTCAATGTCACTTTTGGAGACTCGCATCCGCGCAGTCATAATGAAGGTTAGAAGATAAAACAAGACGCTGCAGAAAGACACCTTTCTTCCCGTGCTGTCGTAATGAAGACAAGGAAAATAAGAGAAAACGCTGCAGGCCGACAATTTAGTCCAGCTTTCGTTTTTGTCTCGTGCTGCTGCAGCTGCTATAGCTGCTGTAGCTGCTGTAGCTGCTGTAGCTGCTACAGCTGCTCCAGCTGCTACAGCTGTTGCTGCTCCAGCTGCTACAGCTGTTGCGGCAGCAGCTGCCGCTGTTGCCACTGCTGCTGTTTCGCTTACAGCGCCTCTGTGACAATCTTTGCACGCCTGTACTTGTATAACTGCTGCAGCGCAAAGCAGCGGAAGCCCTTGAGCAACGGCGCAACAAAGTGATGGAAGAACGACAAAAAAAATGGGAAGCTCTGAGGAAAGCGGCAGAGAGAGTAGCGAGGTAAGTATACAGCTCTAGAAAAAGAGATGAAGCGGCAAGCCAACTACTTTTGTGGCCTCCAAACAAACAAAACGGGGCGCTGCTGCCACAAAACGGCGAACTGCGGAGCATCCCAGCAGGCAGCAGTAGCTGGGCAGGTTCATGCAACAGTTGAAAGAGCAGCTTTAGCAACACTAGCGACAACAGCAGCCGCAGGGGAGTCCCATTGTGCTCTCAGTGCAAAGGCAGTGCTCCGCGAAGCAGCAGAGACCAATAGGGAAAGACGCGCAGAGGAGATGCGGAGGGCCAAAGAGGCAGAGAGATTAGCAGCAGGCGCAGCCGCGCTCAGAGCTTCAAAATGGGTCAGCAACGCACAGCCCCGAAGTAGTAGCAACAACATGAACAGTAGAAGCCCCAAAGTTTAGTACGCGTAAGAGCATGGGCGGCAGGCACAGTAGCAGAGGCTGCAAAAGTAGATACAGCAAGTGCGTGACCGGTAGGAGCAGTGAGAAAAGCAGGTGAATTCATAGCGGCGAGCGCAATAACAGCAACACGAGCACTATTAGCAGCAGGAGCAGCTGTTACAATGTGAGGCCGGGGTAACGGAAACAGCAGAAAACGTGGCACTGGGCACAGCAACAGCACCAAAAGTAGCCACCGATATAAGCAAAAAACTACATGACAGGCATGACTTGTTTGTGCGGTTCGCCTTTGCAGCTGCTGGAGAAAAAAGCAGGGCAGATTAAAAGACAAGCGGCCCTCCAGCAGGTAGACAGATGAGTCTTGGGGTTTAAGGTTTACAACCAAGAATAAAGGGCCAGGGGCTCAGTGTTTAGTCGGTCATGTTTGCGCTTTTTTCCAGACACGCGCTGAACCGTTGCGAATGTTCACTTCAACAACAAACGAGAAAAGGCTTGTGGCGTGGGGTCTAGGGTCGACGATTAAGGGCTTGTTTTGTGCTGTTTGTTTCTCGCCCAGGAACAAATAGAGAGACAGATAAGTTACGAGTACACACAGGGCACCAAGCTACTCGCAGAGCAAGCAGGTGAGGGCGGCATTCAGTGGTATGAACTAGCAGTTTTCCTATTTATTACTGCAGTGCCTTCTAACTGTTTACACCAGTTATTTTAGCATCGGCATGTGTTTATTTTAGTTCACCCTTTCTGCTGTGGCGCGCTGTTGATGCACTGCAGTGAGGCAGCAACTGGTCAAAGGCATGGAGAGAGCGGCGTTGGCAAGACAGCAACAGAGACTCGCAGAGGAAGTCAGCAGGGCCACTGGTCACCACTGCACAGACAGAATCACATGCAGATAGACATGAACAGATAGCAATAACAGTGCAGGCAGATCCAAGGCTAGGTAGCGGGACAAAGTGATAAGGAGGCGTACAGTTACCTAGACAGGCAGATGAATAGAGGAGGCAGACAAAAAGAACATTATAAGTAGGAGGTGACTAAAGGCAAAAGGAAAAGCAAGACGAAGCACAGCAGAGAGGCCAACAGCAAATAAGAAAGACGCGTGGGCGGAGAGGCTCACACCAGAGCAGCCACGCTTGTGAAGAGGCTAAAGCGGTGGCAGACAAACGAAACATAGGCAGAGATACTGAAACAAAGGGAAGGAAATAGCCACTGTTATTGGGTGCTGCAGGCAGCGCTGCTGCGGGTTAATAGGAGAGAAAAAGATCAGCGCGACGCCGCGAAGGCTTTAGAATGCTCTGCCAGATTTGAACGCCGTCGAGCACAAGACGAAATAGTAGAGGCAGCCAGGGTCGCCATGCAAACTTTTTTGGTAACTAAAGAACGAGTTGCCCCATGGCACATCGTTAAGGCTAAAGACTTTAATGCTTTCGATGTAGCATCTGCAACTGAGTGTTCAAGTTCTGACCTGCAGAAACGATACTTTGGCTTAGGTTACACAGTCCACAGTTTTAGACTAAGGCGTATGACCGAAGGTCTCGTCTTAAAGTCTCGTCTTAAACGGCCAGGCCTTGAGTGTATTCGATTGTGTGCGAGCTTTAATTGTAACCCTGGATCGCCCATGAGTTGATTTTCACGGCTTAGAAATAAGGGTTTATTGTCCGAAGCTGAAGGGTTGGAAAGTGGGAATAATTTTTTCAGGACAAAGAAGCACGGCGTAAGAGAGAGGCAGCTGCGGCCATACATCAACACGAGCGGGAACTCGCTGCACTGCTGCGCCTTCCCGCCGCTAAGCCCGTGTGCTTGACGAAGTGAAGAGTTCAGGGTTCGGAGTTTAGGGCTTGGCATCTCTGGTAGTTTTTTCCCATTTTCGCCGTCGACATAAACATGATAATCTAACGCTGTAAGGCTTCGCACTCAACTGCCAGGAACAATGATGAAGTATGAGCTCATTTTTGGGCTTCCAGGAAAAACGAAACTCTGCATTTTCTCAAAGGGGTAGCCATACCTTTAGCTACAAGGAGTCAGAGGCCTTCACAGGAGGACAGCTACACGATACGAAGACCAAACACTGCGATTTGAGGTCTACAACTCGTAGAAACATGTGTAAACAAAATGAACATATTCAGCTTGCTCTGCAAGTGGAACTGTGATCCGATGACAAGCTGGACGACGAGAGTATCGATCCCTCTACCTCTCGCATGCTAAGCGAGCGCTCTACCATTTGAGGTAGACGCCCTCCACGAGGACACTCTTCCCAGAGATATTAGCACAAAACGCGTCCTTAGCAAGCCACGGCAAAAGCATATGATGGCTTACCTGCTAGTTGCGATTCACAGGAAGTGGATGCGGCTAAAGGACACAAGCATACTCTGCTTGGCGCGTAAAAACAGTATATAAGGAAGCGGAAGCAACAAGTGTATTCAGTTTGGCGTGAAAAAAGGGATCGACGGAAGTGCAAACTGGACGACGAGGGTATCGATCCCTCTACCTCTCGCATGCTAAGCGAGCGCTCTACCATTTGAGGTAGACGCCCTCCACGAGGTCACTCTTCCCAGAGATATTAGCACAAAACGCGTCCTTAGCAAGCCACGGCAAAAGCATAA